TTTTTATAACTTTTTTTTTTGTTAGTTCTTCTATTTTGGAAGAGTCAAGAAGCCGCCAAAAGCGGCAACAACAATTGAAGACCCGGCCTGGCCGTAAACATTTTCAATGACTATTTTTACTTTTTTGGTTTTTAGTTTTTGCCTTTTTGGTTGTTGTTACTTTTGTTGCTGTATTAGCTATAAGTTGTTTTTGCTTTTCTACCCCCCATATAGTATGTATATAGATATATAGATATATATATATATTATATATACGTCTATATCCCAAGCAACATTCGTGTGTTCGCCTTCCTTCCCATTTACAAACCAAATCACGCGACTGCGACTTGCCCCGCACAGATGTCTAAACCAGCAAGAACAACAACAACAACAACAACTGAATACGTTGGCGATTGTTGTTGTAGTTGTTGTTGTTGTTGTTGTTCTTGTTGCTAGCTAATTTTAAATGCGCTGATAAGTTGCACAAATATGTTGAGGATGTATTCTTTTTATTTTTGTATCTTTTTGGGGTTGCAATGAATGGGCAGGCAACAACAACAACAATAATGGCAAGAACAACAACAACAATAGCAAGAACAAAAACCATAACAACAACAACTAGCTAGCAATAATAACAAAAACAACCGGCAAAAACCGCGTCACGCGACACGCGATTTGCGGGCGTTTTTGGGTTTTCTTCTTGTTTTGGTGGGCGTTTTTAGCACGAAAATAAAATAATAAAATAAAATAAAAAAAAGCAGAAAAAATAAGAAGAAAAAAATACGGCAAAAGAAAATCTTTTCACGAAACGAAAGATGTGCCCCATGTGCGACTATTAAAGGGTAAATTTAATCGTCGAGCTATGCAATTGCATGCCCAATTGCAAATGGTTTGTTTGGCGACAAAAATCGCCAGCAATTTTTATAGAAAATATAGTGTTTAAGCCAAATGCCAGAGGAAAATTCTATATAGATGATATATCTATATAGATGATATATATATATAAAGAAAAACATATTATATATGACTGTTGAAAGAGTCATCAAAGGGTTTTTGTGTGAATATTTTTTCAAATATTTTTTTGAGTTTTCAAATTGAAAAAATTTCAAGAGCTAACTCAAGTCTTTGCAACTTTTACTAATTCCTATTTAATAAGTAAAATTAAGCAGTCTTACTTAGGGAATATAAATCCTAACAATCATAGCATAGAAACCAGCCTAATTGTTGCCTCGGAAAATGTTAGAAAAATCTCTTCTCTTTCAGAATTTTTCCTAGCTATCAGCGATCCGCAATTTAGATGATGCGTGCGAATGCATCTCTCATTTAGTGAAAAGCTGTTTTTCTTCGGGGGTTTCTTTTAGCTTTTAGCTAAGGAGGAGGAGGAGGGGGGGGGGGAGAGAGGGAACTATGATGCGGCGCTGATTGCCCCTTGATAATTAATGCATGGCAAGAATGCGGCATGTGCTAATGAAAGGCATGGCAAATGCCACTGAGAGAGATGCAGATGGATGGCGCCCATAAAAAAAAGCCAGAGCCCAGCACAAATCTGTTATTAGCTGTCAACTTTTCGCCATTCTATCTAAGAACTCTTTTTTCTCTAGTTTTTCTTTAGTTTTTCTTTAGTTTTTCTTTAGCTGTTTTTTTTTTCCTAGTTTCCTGTCTTTAATGCTGCGGCTGCTGTGCCCCAATCAAAGTTGCAACTTCATTCATTGGAACGGAAACGGCGCAAAGCCTACGGATTCGATTCATTGAGATCGTATCGTCGTATCTACTTTGCCTACGCTCTTGGCCAAATTAATTTACGCCAGACACATAGGCTGATACTTTTTAGCCTTCTTTTTTTTCTTCATCTATTTCGCTTTTTTTTTTCTTTTTTTCATTTTAGATTTTGGATTTTTCTTTTTTCGGGGTGGGCGAAGCAGAGTTTTCTGCAATTTGACACCTTGTGGGCATTAAGTGCTTCCTCTGCCCACACGCTGCTGCGGCGCGACGCCTCCTCGTCTCCTCCTTCTCGACGCGTCGTCGTCTGTGTGGCAAATGCAACAAATTGGTTGCATTTCGTTTTGGGGGCTCTCCTCTTGGAGGCAGCTCCGTCCGCCCCTCTTTGGCCAGCTGACATGCAACTGACAACGACGACGACGACGACGAAGGCGACGGCGGCGGTGGCTCATTTCGGGTGGCTGTCGCAGACGGCCCCAAACAAACGTCAGACAGTCTTTGGCTTTGGCTTTGGCTTTAGCTTGGGGTACCGCCTTCCCCGCCTACTCCGCTACCCTGCTCTGGCTTAACGTGTTTCGTGTAGACCCCCCTCGTAACTTGGTTAATACCCTTTTGGCTAAGAGTCTATAAAATATGAATGCTAAAAGATGAAGTGCTGACAGTTTTTTCGAGATGCAAGACAGGAAATGGCTAGGAAGTAGCTAAAAGGTAGCTAAAAGTAGCCAAAGCTAGAAATTCTTCACCAAATTTTTTGTTTTTAAGTTAAAAGCTTTTTTTAAGCTAACAAAATGAAAGTGAAAATTTTTTTAAAAATATTTCCTTATTTTTAAGAAGATTTTAGTTTAAATTTTCCATCTCTAAACTCTCTAAAAAATCCTTTTAACCTAAATTTCTGATATCTTAGGGCATCTTAGCTTTCGGTTTTGGCCAACTTAGTCTCTGCTTTCCATCTTCTTCGCGTTTCGTTTTCTGGTCCCGCCGCTGATCATGATATGTTTGCCGAGATCCCAAAACGAAACGAAATGAACGGAACGATTTTGTTTTTTTTTTTCTTCTTAGTTTTTGCCGTTGCCGTTGCCGGCGGCTTGTTGGGGCTCCTCTACGTAGGCACATCTTGATCTTTTTTCGTTGCCTTTTTTCGGATTTTTTTCTGTCGGTTTGGTTTGTTTTTTTTCTCCTTCTTTTTTTTTTTTTAGTTTTTAGTTTTTTACTTTGCTGCTGCTGCTGCTGTGTGTGTGTGTATGAGTGTGTGTGTTGTGTTTTTTACACGCATTCATTAAAAATAAGTTAACAACTTTTTAACACCTAACTGGGCGGCAGACAGTTGAATAAATGAATTATGCTGACGAATGGCGGCACCGTGGGTAGCTGGGCATGGGGCATGGTTAAAGAGGGGAAAGGGGACTGCCTGCTAGCCTGCCTGCCTGCCTTAGGGGTCGGTCAGAGCTTGTTAATCAGTTAAATTAAATGCGAAATGAACAAAACGAATTGGCTGGTAGTTTTCTGCTGTCTGCGTGGTCTTTGACGTTTGATTAGCCACCAGTTGGGTTACCAAATCGAAAAAAAATAAAAACAAAATAAAGTAAAAGAACTGTTTTGGTAGTTTGTTGCTATACACTCTGCCCGTGCGTTGGCTTTTCATTCATTCTTTAAAAATAAAAACGACGACTACGACGTCTACGACGGCAGCGGCAGCGGATAAGTGTGTCTGGTGGTTGGGGGCTCGCAGCCATATAACGACTAAATTATGCTAAGACTTTGTATAAACAGAAAGAGAGAAAGAGGGAGGGTGGAGAAAGAGAGAGAGAGAGAGAGGGGAACGGCAGAAGTGGGTGCCGAATAGGTAGGATGCAAGTATAGGCGCGTGGGCGCCAAAGTGTGCCATCTGCGAGCGAACCAATTACCGATCCTAACTCATCTCGCCTTGGCAACATCATGAAAACCATCAACGATTTGAATGTACGACTTTGGAAAACCTTTAAAGAAAGTTTCAAATCCAAACTAGCTAGCTTAGTTCTTAGTTTTTTAAGCCTTCAGATTAACTTTCAAACTTAACCCTGTTATGCAATGGAAACTATTTAACCCTATAAATCCCTGGCTTTACAGGGCATCAACTAAGCCCTAACAGAACCAGTTAATCATCATTACTAGCCAGCTAACTAGCTAAGTGTAAGCCGAGTAACGTTTCAAAGTCGCTGCAACGTAAACCGCAATCTGTTTTTAATTGAAAATGCAACAACGCCAGCGGACCAAGAAAAAAAAAAAAGGTAAAAGAAGCAGAAAAAACGGCAACTTGGGAACATAATAGTATGCAATATATATATATATATATATAGTAACTTATATAGATATATATATATATTTATAGCGGAGGGAGCCGAGAGCCAAACAGGAAATGCAGCTAATCAAGCGTGTGAGTTGCAACAAATTGCAATTGGGTGCCGCTCGTCTTCTCCTCCTTCTCCAGGTTGGAGGACCAAGCGTTCTATATACATTTCTATTTTGGTATCTGAAAACCTCCTCCCCCCAACCCCTCTCTGGCCCTTTGGTAAAGCGGCTTAAAGCGGACGCCGTAGCGTCTACGCCTGCGCCTGTGCCTGTGCCGGTGCCCAACAGGCAGGCAGGCACAGCGAGCGGAAGGGAATTCCCGTTTTCCGGATTAGCAAACCGTGCAACATTCGACATATAATAATAATAATAATAAAAAAGAAAAACTATAGTTGGGAATATCCCGAAAAACCCTGGCCTGGCCGGGGGATTAGAGGTGCGAGCAGGTCCCGCCTCGACACCGGCTGGAATTCTACCTGCGTGTAAGCGGGGATTTCCCCCGGCGGTCATATACTATATGATATAGTCATGGGTCATATATAGACCGACACGGCGTATGCGCAATGCCAAAGGCAACTTATGCAATCACACACAGCAGAGGTGAAAAAATCAGAAATTTTAAGATGAAACTACCTAAGATGGCTAGGAAATGATCTATTTTATGATATTATTGGAAATCTTTAGGATAAAAATCAATTTTAGTTTGGAAAATCTCAAAGCCTTCTCTTTTAGAAACAGAAAACTTTAACCCCTAAAACTTGATATTAAATTCAAAAATGATCTTGCTTATAATATCAAAAAAAAACGAATCAAGATTTTCAAAAGGAATCCCTAAGATGGAAAATCTATTTAACCAACCTAAGCTGTTCATTTTAGCAGCCTGGCAAGAAGCAGCATGGAAAACCAAACAAAAGCTGGCAAATTGACATACGATATGACTTAAAGATAGTTAGAAATTGTTGGAGGTGACTTACCCGCTGGTCTGTTGGACCGCCTGCCCGTGTCGGACTCCTCGAACATGAGCGGCGCATGCCGCCGGCCCTCCGTCACGCCCGCCAAACAAACGATCAGCAATCCGGCGATGAGCAGGTGTCGCAGGTGGCGGATGAGTGGCTGTTCTTTGTAGATGATTCTGTTGTGGCTGCTGGGGATTTGGGCATCTGTATTATCACTGTTGCTGGGGCTGCTGCTGTTTCCTTCGTTGCTATTGCTATTGCAACAATTTCTTTCCAGGATTGGTACTGTTCCAGTGGCCGTGGCCCATTCCAAGCCACCACTTGATTTCCTCTGCTTGTTTATGGCCATGTTAAGATACACTCTTTTTTCGTTTTTTGTTTTGTTTTTAGTTTAAGTATTAATTTCTTTTTGATTTTTTCTTGTTAAACGACCGGCTTGTAAAGCACGTTTCACAGTTTCAACAACAACAACAAAAAATATATAAAAACAAAGGTCGCAACGCACACACAATGGATATATATATATATATATATAGGAATATATATAGGAGATAGATATAGAGATAGATATAGTATAGAACCGATACCGATTCTTGTACTTCTCTTGCAGATTAGATAACACACGCGAGTTTCGCGCGCCGATTTATTGGATTTTTATTTTATATTCAATTTGCTGTTTTCCTTATTTTTTCCTCTTATTTTTGTGTTTTTAGTTACTTTTTTAGCTGCATAAATTTGCTTTACTTTTTGTTTTATGTTTCGTTTTGCAGTTTCGAGACTTGTTTTGCTTTTCTTAACTATATTAGCTAATACGTATATAGTTTTATGCTCTGGAAAATAGAGTCGATCTCGTGTATATATTTTACGAAAAACGCGATTTCAGATTTTGTTTTGTTTTTTTTTTTTACTGAAGTTTCGTTTTCTTTTTTTTGGCGTTCTGCGTTCTGCGTTCTCGGCGACTTTTTATCTACTAGATAGCCAAGCGGTGCGAACCGCCGTGTATATGGGCGGCGATCGTAGATCTACGATCGGGAGTGGGTTTTCTGATATTGTATTGGATCGTGGCTCTTTAGCGTATTGTTGCTTTTGCTTTTGCTTTTGCTTGGCGGCTATACACTAGCTCTCTTTTGCTCTCCGTGTTGTGCGGTTGCGAACGCTTGGTAAAATAATGTCCACACGGTATCGGGCGGTTGAATAAATAAACTACCAACAACGGCCCAGCGACGGCGGCGTCGTTGACAGCGACGCAGGCAGCATTAGCTCTCTCTCGCTATGGCTCTCTCTCCTGTATGTCTCTCACTCTCTCTCTCTATCTCTTGCACTCTCTCTATCTATCTTTCTTTCTCTGTCACACACACAGACACGATCTTCGATCTTCGTGTGAGCTCGTGTGTTTGGTTGGAAATTGCAATTTTTGCGAGTCGCGTGTCCCGAAGAAGAGATGCTTTTTGCAAGTTGAATGAGCGGCAGGCAGCGCTGTCGGCGTTAGCGTCGCTGCTGCTGCTACTGCTGCTGCTGCAGTTTAACTGCGCCTGCGCAACTTGGCTGGCAACATGTTGCGCTGTTCCGTCTTTGCCAAAAAAGGGAGCAGCCTTTGCAACATGTTGCTTAGTTAAAAAAAAAACTTTCTCACTTCCACACAAACACACACACATACATACTACATTGTGATTGTGCAAATTTTAACGCTGCTGTCGTCGCTGCGTGGGCGTGAGCAGAGCAGCGCATCCTGGCCTCTCTTTCGGCGTAGACCTCTCTGCTGGCCAATCAACGGCAAGTCAGCCAAAAATGTGCAACAACCATTTTATCAAAATGTTAAAATAGGGCTTGGAATGCCTTAAAAATCGAGGTGTTAAAAGTGTTGCAAGGGCGGGGTTCTTGTGGAGATTGAAATTTAGCATTTCTAAGGTCAAAAAATGGGTTTGCTTTATGGGTAAAAGGTAAGTCTAGAAGGGTAGAAGCTAAATTGCCTGAAAACCCTTTGATCTGGAGAAGAAACTAACTGAGAATTGGAAAATTGTTTCATTTTTGGGAGGAAAAAGTGATAAAAAAAACACTTTTTTAAACAAATTACAGGCCTAATTTTTGGTCTAATATAAAAATATATTTATAATATAATAATGTATTTATAATATTTAATAACTAAATGTAGTGTAAAATGATTTAAGCATCAAAAATCATTCCTTTGCCTTCAAAGAAAGTCCCCCAAAATTTTGCAGCTAAGAAAAAATCCCCAAAAACAGCCCAAAAAAAGACCTGCCTTCTTAATATAAAACATAAGCAACTTTCTTACAGATTTCACAGTGAAAAATCTTAAAAATTCTTTATAAAAATATCCCCAAAAAATATAATTTATTTAAAAATATTCCAAAGCACTTAACCAATAACATCCTAATAGCTTCCTCTCACCAAACAACAACATTCCAATCTAAGACCTTGCCTTTAATTTTTCTGCACTTAAAAACTAAACTATTAACGATAGTGAAATTCCTCGAAAAGTGTTTTCAAATTCCCAGGAGAGCTGTGAATGTGAGAGAAGAAACAGAAAACAAAAAACAAAAATAAAAAACAAAAAAATACAAAACCGGCCTCAGATTGATTAAAAAATAAAAAAAGGAATTTGCCTGGCCATTCTGCGAATTTATTTTGCCTTGCCTTCGCCTTCGCCTTGCCATGGCTGGCCAAAGATTCTTTTTTCGTTTTGGCCACCGAAAGAGAGAGAGGAAGAGTTGAAATCCCTTTATGGCCGAAACATTCCATATATCATACAAATCGTACAAAAACATTATAAATGTCCACTCATATAGCAGGCGGCACGTGTGAGAGCAATTAAAAGCCAAGACTTGGCCCAAAAAACTGAAGAAGCATCCTCAACTATATATTAAGTATTGCTAATAAATAATGTCCCAGAATATGACACAAACTGAAATATTCGAATTGGAACGGCTGATAGCTAAAATACAAAATCAAATATATATATCAGATATATCTCTCTCTATATATATAAAGATAAAACATGGTATATTATGTGTGGTATGTGACAAAATTTCTGCGGTTTTGCAAGTGGCCTTTGTTAATTAATTGCTTTCGGTTTTTGCTTTCCATTTTCATTTCCATTTCGATTTGATTTAGATTTTTTTTGTTTTGTATTTTTTTTTATTTGATTTTCGATTTGAGTTTTGTTTTTTTTTTTTGTGATTTGATTATCAGCGGACAGGGCCGACATAGCGCCGGTGTTGCGAGAAATGCAGACGACAGGCAATAACATCATCGCGCGATATCGTTAACAATAATTTGTGTCAAAAAATTCAAAATTCAAAATAAAAATAAGGCCCATTAAAATAGTTTTTCTTGGTTTTATATTAAAAGCATCGAATTTTTGGTAGCATGAAATAATATCTACGAAAATAGAAAGAAAAACAAAAGCATTTTCCATATTAATTTTAACTCATTTCCAGGTCTTCCCTAAATCTTTTTGCTAAATTTTTCTTTTTCTTTCTTTCGTTTTTTTTTTTGCCAGCCAAAACTAAAATAGGAATCTCTTCTATAATTAACTAATCTAATACCTAATATTATAATTTTTGCATCTATTCTAGATTTTAATAAATAGAAAATGTTCAGGTAAACATTAGGTAGGTGTGTGTGTGTGTGTGTGTCTCCTGCTGCTTCTTCTTCTTCTTTATTTAATTATATAGAAATATTTATTTTAGTTAGTGATGTGTTTTCAGATTTTCAGAGAACATCAAAGAAAAACGCAGAATTTTTAAGGACTTTTTGGTTTTTGAGAGCGGCTTTACGTTAATTTAATAAATTTAAAAAATATTTAAAATATGAAATAGTGTTAAATAAAACATTAAAAATATTTTACAATTTTTTTATAGCTAAAAATCATTTACTAATTTATTTTAAAAAATATTAAAAAAAAGTTTTCCTCTAAAAATCATTCGTTTTCCTCTTCCCCAAACACTTTCTCCAACATTTTCATAACCCTTTTACAGGGTATCCCTCTATCGTTATCAACCATCATAATTCCCTTCAGCTTTATTTATTTATGTTTGGCTTTTTTTTGTCGTTTTTCTTTTTGTCAGCCTCATTTAAGGCGCTGCTGGCAGCAAAGTCGTCGTCGCCGTCGCCGTCGCTGTCACCGTCGCTGTCGTCGTCGTCGTCGTCGTCGTCGTCTGCAATTTGAAATATTCCTATAAATGTTTTGGCCTCACGGCCCCGCCGCAAGCAAATAAAAACAAAAAACAAAACCTATATACATCTACCTATGTGTGTGAGAATATATGAACGATATCTGTCGCTTGTCTATATAGAAAAACAAAAAAAAACAACAACAAAAAAGAAAGAAAAGAAAGAAATGTTAAATGTCTGAAACATGCGTACAAAATGCCATTGCAAAGGCAAAAACACCAACGACGGCAATCAACAATCGCCCAAAAAGAAAACCAAACTAGAAAAAATGAAAACACACATCGACTGGGAAAAATATAAATGAAACAGAAAGAAGAAAAACAAAAGCAAAATTCAGCTAGACGATCAGAAAACAGAAAAATGCTTTTCCTTTGATTTATGTAGTTTTAGCGAGCTCTGCCAGCGCCGGCTGCAACGTCAACGTCGACGCCAACGTCAAAACATCGCCAATATAGCAGCAACATGACACACACAGCATATTTATGTCCATATATCCATATATATATATATATATACACATATATCTGAACAATCTGTGCACATTAAGTAAGGCGGCGGGGAACATGATTTGTATGCCAGTGGAAAGCGCGTTTTTCCTTTGTTTTCCGGCCAAAAAGTGTACTTTGAACGCGGTGCCAGTAGCGGATGGAAAGGTACAAGGTCAGGGAGGGGGCAGCTCTTAGATACAGTAACTAAGTTCTTAAGTTAAGATGTGATAAGTTGGGTTATAGTTAGTTACCCATTAACACACCTTTCAATATGTTTATATATATATATAGCAAGTCCCTTATCAGTCGATTGCAGAGCAGTTAAGTCTGTGTATCTCTGCCTTTTGTTTACAGACACCACATTGTGGCCTACATTGGTCAGGCAGCTTATGTTAGGTGCAGGCTAACTATTAGACTCGCTACCTAGCTGTTTGACCTACAGACCTAACTCCTTAACTGTCTAAGTTAGTCAGCTTACTAACTGACTAACTGACAGACTGACCAACAGACTAAATTCTTATCTTACTAACTCACTGGCTGACTTACTGACTAACTGACTAACTGACTAACTGACTAACTGACTAACTGACTAACTGACTGAATGACTGACTGACTGAATGACTGACTGACTAACTGACTAACTGACTAGCTAACTAGCTGACCAACCTCATTCACTGATTAACTGACCAACTCACTAACTAACTCACAAACTCATAAACTCACCAACTGACAAACCTACCCTAACTAGCCCTTGCTAACCATTCGATATACGATAGTTTTTTTTTTTTTTTTTTTTTAGACATGGGCCGCATTGCGCATACGCCGCGTAATCCGATAGAACAGTAGCCGGCTTGCTAGTGCTGCTGAGTGTGAAACTCTTTGACAATGCCCGTCAAGGTGTCAAAGCTTCAAACCGCATTCAGCCAGCGAAGACTACGTAAATCAAGACGTTAGTTCATAAATTCAATTCCCATCCAAAGTCTATCTCTGTCTCTCTGTGTGTGTGTGTGTTTGGTTTTATTTGTGTTTGTAAATTATTTAATAGCTTGATTGACAACCGTGAGCTAAGCCGATATCCAACCATAAGGTCTAGCTAGCTAACTGACTAGCTGACTGGCTGGCTTTGCTTTTGTCTATTTGGCTGCTTTTTGAGATCTTGCGGTAGGCCCGATTGTTTCTATTCCGAGACGTTTGTAACTGTCAATCATAAATTAGATGCCAATCAAAGCAAATGACAACAACAACAGCAGAAACAACAACAAAAACAACAACAACAGCTACATCAGCAAACAGCTCAAAAATTGCCTGCATTCATTTAAATGGCAAATGGCGAACGGCAAACGGCAAACGCACACAGAAAGACATCAAATGAAACAGAAGCAGCCAAGTGACGGCTTTTGACTGCATAACAGCACAGAAAATACATACACTGAGAGAAACTTATAGGGTAACTAAAGATGTTTTGAGTAAGTTGTAGAAGAACTTAAGGTTTTCAAAAGAACAGTTTATGGGTAAGGACATTGATTTGTCTTAGAAATATTTATGAAAAATGTTATCCTTGAGTTTGAAAATCTTTAAAAAATATATTTAATTTAAAAAAAGTTACTGCTTTATGTTAGCAATCAGAAAATATCGAAAAACTAATCCAATATAGTATAAAAAAGTGTTAAAAATCTAAAATCTTTATAAGAAAACATAGTTAAGAAAGCTAATATATGTTAGACTCAAAATGGAAAGAGGAAATGAATCTCTTACAAGGAAAATACATCTCCTCTATCTTCTTGCACATTTTCTCTAAGTGTAATACATAAATATAAACTTATGCGTGTGTGGCTGGGGCAATATTTTACAGCAGTCACATGCAATTGATTTGATGGCCATCGAAGCCAGAAGGTTCAATCATTTGAGACAACTATTGGGATTGGTTTAAAAAGTACAAAAAAGTAGAACAAATTTATGTGGAAAAGTTGAAAAAAATCAAGGGAAATGAAGTGGCAGCAGCAAAGGAAAGGAAAAGTGTGAAAGAAAGGGAGTTTCCCTAAAGAACAGGCATTTGAAGTGCTAATAAGTTGAGTTCATTAAAGGGCCATTAAAGGCGAAACGCACTTAAACATTTCCTTGAGATATTTTATAGTCGTTTTTGAGAGATCGCAGATAGATGGATAACCAAGTTCAAAGCTTAACAACACCATGCTATATCTATTAACATTATCTTTCTTTAGTAATCAAGTAGTTTCGAGCTTGAAAAATCTTCCAAATGAAAAGTAAGAGTTCCAGGAAATGGTTTATGACTAGATTGAGTAATTTTCCCAGGGGGGACGACGACAGTCTTCCAATAAAAGTTCACGATACTTCTGCGGCTCTTTTCCCCAACTAGATGAAATTCCATTATT